GGGGGGCCACCACAGAGCATCTCCACATCGCCCTTCTGGGGCAGTTTCTGGCCCAAGGAATTGGTTTTCTCTCCTGCCATCACCAGCTTGAGCAGCACGTTGCAGTCCTCGGTGAACACCGTGGTGCCGGGGTTGTTGAGCCGGAACGCCTGCGCCGCCGGCTCCCACATCTCGATGGCCCAGAGCGTCTCTGACACTCCTGAGGGGATGGGGATGGACATTCCCAGTGCCCATCCCTCACCAATCCCAGTGCCCATCCCTGAGCAATCCCAGTTCCCATCCCTGATCAGTCCCAGTTTCCATCCCTGCCCACTCCCAGTTCCCATTCCCACATCTCGACAGCCCAGAGCGTCTCCGAGACTCCTGAGGGATGGGATGGGGATGGACATTCCCAGTTCCCATCCCTGATCAGTCCCAGTGCCCATCCCTGAGCAATTCCAGTTCCCATCCCTGCCCATTCCCACATCTCGATGGCCCAGAGCGTCTCTGACACTCCTGGGGGCAATGGGGATGGACATTCCCAGTGCCCATCCCAGTGCCCATCCCTGAGCAATCCCAGTTCCCATCCCTGCCCATTCCCACATCTCGATGGCCCAGAGCGTCTCTGAGACTCCTGAGGGGTGGGGATGGACATTCCCAGTGCCCATCCCTGAGCAATCCCAGTTCCCATCCCAGTTCCCATCCCTGATGAGTCCCAGTTCCCATCCCAGTTCCCATCCCTGAGCAATCCCAGTTCCCATCCCTGCCCATTCCCACATCTCGATGGCCCAGAGCGTCTCCGAGACTCCTGAGGGATGGGATGGGGATGGACATTCCCAGTTCCCATCCCTCACCAATCCCAGTTCCCATTCCTGCCCATTCCCAGTTCCCATCCCAGTTCCCATCCCTGCCCAATCCCAGTTCCCATTCCTGACCATTCCCAGTGCCCAGCTCTGGTCAATCCCAATTCTCATCCCTGCCCATTCCCACATCTCAATGGCCCAGAGCATCTCCAAGATTCCTGAAGGCATGGGCAGGATGGGTGGGAATGGGCAGTGCCAGGTGGGAATTCCCAGTTCCAGGTGAGAATTCCCAGGAATGCCCAGTGCCAGGTGGGAATGGTCAGTACCAGGTGGGAATGCCCAGTACCAGGTGGGAATGCCCAGTTCCAGGCCCAGTGACCACCTGGCACATTTGCTGCCCCCCCCAAGGGCTTTTCCCACCCTTTTCCCAGGGCAGCAATTCCCAAATTCCAAACCCGGAGCTCACCTGCCTGGTGGAATCCCTCGGAGAGGCCCCCACAGCCGGAGAACACGTCCAGGGTGCGGAGCTTGGGCACCTGGAGCTGGGCCGGCTCCTGCTCACTCTGCTCCGCCCCCACAGCCTTCCCTTTGCCTTTCCCTGCGGGGATGGGCACTCCTGACCTTCCTCATCATCATCATCATCATCATCATCATCATCATCATCATCATCATCATCATCATCATCATCCTCATCATCATCGTCATCATCATCATCACCCGCCTCATCATCCCCTGCTCCGCCCCCACAGCCTTCCCTTTGCCTTTCCCTGCGGGGATGGACACTCCTGACCTTCCTCATCATCATCATCATCATCATCATCATCATCATCATCATCATCATCATCATCATCATCATCATCATCATCATCACCATCCCCTGCTCGGCCCCCACAGCCTTCCCTTTGCCTTTCCCTGTGAGGAGGGGACACTCCTGACCTTCATCCTCACCATCATCATCATCCTCATCATCATCGTCATCATCATTACCCTCCTCATCACCATCATCATCGTCATCATCATCAGCCTCATCATCATCATCATCACCCGCCTCATCATCCCCTGCTCCGCCCCCACAGCCTTCCCTTTGCCTTTCCCTGTGAGGATGGACACTCCTGACCTTCCTCCTCCTCATCATCATCATCATCATCATCATCATCATCATCACCACCATCGTCATCATCATCATCATCACCCGCCTCATCATCCCCTGCTCCGCCCCCACAGCCTTCCCTTTGCCTTTCCCTGCGGGGATGGACACTCCTGACCTTCATCCTCATCATC